AGCCGGGCGGCGCCGGGGGACGGACGCGCCCGTGTGCGGTCCCCGTGGCCGCGGCGCCGGCGCGCGGCTCGTGCCTCACCTCCCAGCCCCGCCGCCCAGGAGAGGAGCAGAATTAACACTCTCGGCAACACCATCTTCCGCGGCCGCCGCCTCCTCGGGGTTAACAGCAGCACATCGACCCGGGGCGCGCGGCTGAAGGGCTGGGTCCGGAGCCTCCGCAGGAAGCCGGGACCTCCCCGGGCCGGAGAAACGCCAGGCGCCTCCCTCCCGCTCCACTTGGGGGCCGGCGACGCGCCCGGCTCCACCAAAACAGGGACCTCCCTCCCCTCGCCCGCTTCCTTCCTCCCTTCCCCGCTCGCCTTCCCTCGCCCCTTCCCTCCGCTCAGCCCCCTCTCCTGGGCCCCGGAGCTCCGCCCCCTTCCTCGCCACGTGACGCGCCGGCGCCCAACCCGCACGCCGAGCCGCGCCCCAGCTGCCCGCTCCACCCCCTCCCCCGGGCGCCGCGGGGCGCACGCATGCGCACGCGAGCCGCTTCCCGGGCGTCTGGGCCTGCAGCCGCTTCCTGTCCGCCGGCCGAGAGCTGCGATTGGGCTGGGGGCGGGACCTGGTCGTAGCCCCGCCCCCGGCGGGAGCCCTGGCCGCGGTCTGAGCTCGCGGGCCGCGTCGCCGCGGAGGACCGCGCTGGGCGCTGGGTCTGGGGCGTGTGAGGACTGCGTTCCGCTTCCGAACTTCAGCGGTGGCGGAGGTTGTGTTACTTTTTCTACGTCTGGCGGTGCACCGCCGTCAGCCGGCACACCGAAGCTGTCCCCGGGGAGCGGAGCGTCCAAGTCCAGATCCAGGCGGGCGGCGAGGAGGAAGGTTCGCCGGGCCGACTCCGGGATCGGGGCGCCGCACGCGCCCGCCGCCGACCGGGCCTCCGAGAGGCCGGCGCGCCGTCAGCCTCGACACCGGGCCGCGCCCGTGGGCCCCAGCCCTGCCGAGGGACGCGCGGCTCCTGAGGCCTGCGTGGATCCAGGGCACCCGTTTTGCAGGAGCCAGGACTTCCTGGTAGCACTCGGGCACTCGTCCTCGTGAAAGTTTGCTTGGGCTGGCAGAGTGCCAGAATATAGGTACTAACGTTGGCACTGCTAATAAATTGAGATTCTACAGTAAGCCCAAAAGCAGAAGTTCTAGAGCAGTTATGATTGATAATGTCCGTTTCTAATGGGATGCAAAAAATCAAAGAGGAATACAGGCCTGTCACGAATTTTTTTTTTTCATTATGTTGGAGGCGGGGTCTCTAATATAGCCCAGGTTGGCCTCAAGCCCTGGCCTGGCACTCCGCATCCGCCTGCCTCCGGCTCTGAGTGCTGGCCTTCCAGGCGTGTGCTGGCACTCCGGCCTTTCTCCTTCTAAGATCCCATTCGGAAACGGTTAGCAGAAAAGTCACGTTGCGTGTCACATGTGCTTTTTACATCCTCTCGTGGAGCTGCTCTCACAAGCGCTGTTTTTATTCGGACTGTTTTCATAGCATATTTAGTGCACAGTATTTTTTATAGTTAATTCCAGTCGTTAGGGACAAATGACTCCTTCCTCTTCAAGTTCCACTGGAAAAAATTCAAAATTATATTTTGTGTTACCCCAAATGAAGACGGCAAATTACATTTAAATATCCTCTTATTTGTAAAATGGTGTTGCAGAGTTACAAGTTTGAACCCCTATTTTGTTGAAGCCTCGCCTCCTTATTAATAGTTTGCAACCTTACCAGAAACTGAGGCAGTGTGGGGGTAGCAGGTGTGCACCCACACCATCTGCTACAAGACGTGTGCCTCCCTGCTCAGCCTTGAGGAAGCTGTGCTCCTCAGGCCAAGTCATCCAGGATTTGGTTTGTTTCTTCCTTGAGACAGGGTCTTGCTATGCAGCTCAGGCTGGCCTTGAACTCATGAGGATCCTCCAGCCGCAGCCTCCGGAGGATGGGATTACAGGTATGAGTCACCACACCCGGTTTGTATCATCAGTGTTCTCTTATACAATAAGAATGGTGAATGTTTGTCTCCTGAGATTGTTTTGATGATTAAATTCACATTAGTTAACATAATTGTGAAGTGTTTAAGTAGAAATATGTAAATATTGTCCTTTCACGAATGGTTAAACATCCATTCAAAACCAATTATTTTAATAGCATTATGTATGCTTAAGTGTTGTTTTTTCACTTAGTTTGGTTTGTTTGTTAATTTTTCCAGTGCTAGGGATGCAATCCAGGGCCTTTTCCGCTTGTGCTATTAGCCTATCCTTAGATTATGGTAGTCAGACATTTAGCTAGTAAGCAAATACGGTAGCCATATATGGTGTATTAGACAAACAATACTAGAGAAACGTGCGCCTCAGACCTATACAGGTAAACGTAGACAATTACTCCTACTGAACCACCTGCTGGTCTCCCGTTGTCATACCTCACTCAGGATTTTAACCTCTTAGCCTCTATGGCCACATCACATCATTCTCAGGAACGGGAGATCAAGAATGAACCTTGGAATTCCCTTCCCTGGTCTGCCTTCAACCAGTCAAAAGATCATACCGATTTTTTCCTAAAAATGCCTTGCTTGTGCTTTTCTTCCTTGCTTCCCAGCTTTGCCGTCTGGTTCACAACATTCTTCCCCGTGCTTGTACTGCTGCAGAGGCCTAACACAGCTCCCTTATTCTGTTCTCTGTTACTCCTAGCCCTGCTTTCAAACCTCATCTCAATCCACTGCAATTTGATGCCAGTTTCCCATTCCTAAGAAATGACTCCGTTCTGCAAGACATAGTGGCACGCACTTCAAATCCCGGCTATTCAGAAGACTTGAGGCAGGAGGGTCCAAGTTCAAAGCCAGCTCAGGCAACATAGGGAGACCCTGTCTCAAGACAAAAATTTCTAAAAGCTGTGGATATAGCTCAGACGTGGAGCGGTCCTGAGACTCTGGATTCAATCCCTGGTACTGAAAAAAAGGAAGCTGAGCATAGTGGTGCTCAGCTGTCATCCCAGCACTGAGGCTGAGGCAGGAGAATCACGTAGACGGACAGAGAGGGAATCTCTTTGCCAACAGTGCCACTCGCACCTTCACTGCTCATCTTATTGGGGCTTCCTGCTCGGTGGCGAAGCTATGGCACACGTGCCGAGGCCGGCTGTATATTATCATTGAGAGTTGTAAAAGTCTCGCCATCAGTCTGGTTTTCACCCCTTAAACTCCTTGTTCTCTCCAGATTTTTCTCTTCCTTTTAACTGTGCCTTTGTATCTCTTCCATGGACTATTTTCTTTCCTATGCCCTTTAAATATTACCAGAATCTTATCCTTGGCTCTTATTACTCATTCTTCACTCATATGATTATTTCTTACTACCCTGAGATGTCTGTCAGCCTGGTAGACCTGGGTCTCCTTGTGTTGGTATAAGGCACCACTTTGTAAACGTAAGGCCTCGTGTCAGGTGGGGCACCTGCGCCTCCGTCTCCTACAGAGGATGTGAGCCTTAAGTAAGTTCATAAATGTAAAGTGCTGAGACCAATATATAGCATGCAATAAGCAGACAGTGTTAGGTGTTCTCTTACATAACTAACCCGCAAGTCATCTCCCCAAAATGAAATAACACACTTCGAATTCAGTGTGTCCCAAGCTGGCCAAACCCCTCCATCAGTACTCTCAAACCTGTTCTTCTGCCCTCACCCCCTAGGTCACTGTTCCAGAAGCCAGTTAGTCAAAAAGCAAGGTGATGGTAGAGAAAGAAGTTTATGATGAGTTAGTTGATCAGAAGATGGCTGGACTGGGGCTGGGGAGATGGCTTAGTAGAATAAACGCTTGCCTGGCAAGCACAGGGCCTGAGTTCAATCCCCGGTTCCGCAAAAAAAGAAGAAGAAGGTGATGGCTGGACTATTGTGTGAAAACAAGCCCAAGTGAAGAGTTTCGTAGGATAGTTAAGGAAGTGTATTTCTAGCCACAGATGAGTGGGCAACACGATGATTTCTCCTGCAATGGTCCCTTTCTTTGATGAACATACTATTGTTGCCTAAAGGTCAACAAATATGCTGGGTTCTGCAAGGGTGAGGAAAAATGTGGGCCAGACACGGTGGTACATGCCTGTGATCCCAGAACTCGGGGAGGCTGAGGCAGGAGGATCACAAATTCAGGCCCAGCCCGGGCAAGTTAGCAATTTAATAAGATTTTGTCTCAAAATAGTAAATGGATGTAGCCCAGTGTAAAGACAGCATTAATCCAAAGTGGAACATAGGAGGGGGACGAGGGAGGGAAGGATTATGGATGAGGACATTTTATGACTGATGCTTCTGTAGCTCCTTTCTTTGTTCAGCCTGGGATAGCAACCTGCCTGTTAATATCTGCATCATTTAAATGTGGGTTTTCTTTTTTTAGGCAGAGAGGAGTACTGAGAGTTGGGCCCAGGGCCTTTGCGCTGAGCTACATCCCAGACTGTTTTTTATATTTTTATTTTGAGACAGGGTCTCACTAATCACTAAGCTGCCACAGCTGAACTCATTGCTACCTTCCTAATTCACATGTTTGGTGTGACTTCTAGTTAAAGGTTTTTTCTAAGTTATTCAGCAACTAGGAGGGTTTATGGTACAACCAAGATTCCAGACTTGCGTGGAAACCAAAAGGCCAGGCAGCCTGGATTCTTACGCAACCTCAGATGGCAGGAGCTGAGACAAGACTGCCCTCTTTGGACTTGGCTTGTCTCGTATCACTCCAGCCCGGTGAGCCCTGTCGGGATGTAAGTTCTGGCCTCTGTTTTAAGAACTACATCAAGTTACAGACCTCGAAAGTTTTTCCTAGTCTTCTGGCTCCCATAGTCAAGACTCATTCTACTCTAGGACGCCTGTTATTTATATCCTTCACCTGCACTTAATCACGTATTACCTTGTGGAAAGTTCGTATTATTTTGACACTAAGAACAATGGGGGGAAAAGACAGCAGAGATCAAAAGGCTTTGACAGAAAGCAAAGAAAGAATAAATCTTACAGAGTTTCAATGATAACTATTTTTCCTAAATTGAACAAATATGTATTCTGTTCTTGCTCTGGGGATTTCCACATTACCAAGATAATTCCCGACATGCTGACAGTCACCTTGACAAGCACTTTCTTTCTCTTTGTGGTACTGGGAATCAACCCAGGGCCTTGACCATAACTACTTCCCCAGCCAGTTCATTGCTGCTGTTATTGTTAATGTTGTTCTGCTTTTTTTTTGGGGGGGGGGTGGGACCTGGAATTGAACTCAGGGCCTTGCACTTGCCAGGCAGGTTCTGTGCCCCTGAAGCTACATCCCTGACCCTGCTGTTTTGCTTTTTTTTTTTTTTTTTTTTTTTTTTTTTTTTTTTTTTTTTGGTGGAACC